CCAACACCCACCATGGAGCCACAATTAGAGGCAGGACACCAAACAAGAAGCTATCGCCGATCTTGCCGGGGCCCCCCAGGGGTGCGTCGTGAGTATACGCCCCACAAACGCCACCTTAAGAACCGTGAGTCCGTCGAGCGCGGGTTCAGTGACGAAAGGAGGATTGACAATAAAAAGTTTGCCTCGCTCTCGACGTTGGGTACTACAGTTCTACGGGTGCAAGAGTATGCCTCCTCAAACACCCGGGCGTCAAAACAAAAGAAGGTCGAAAGAATAATAAAAACAGGTAAAAGGTCGGCAGGAAATGACAATTTAAAAAAGTAAGGGGGATGAAGGAAACATCAGAGCAACTCAAGACAGCAGAAGAGTTATGGGCCCAAGCAACAGCTGGGGGAGGGGAAGAGAAAAGAATAGCCACGGAAGCGACCAGGACGAGCACCAAACATCGGCTCCTGGAGATAGACACAAAGAGGCGAAAACTGAGAAATTAGAAGTTGGAGGTCAAGGAAATTGGCGTAATAACCACGGATGTTCCACTGAAGAATAGACATCGACAAAAAGAGAAAGGATAGCAACAGAGAACAAAGAAGAAATAAAGGTGAAAAAAAAACACAGCACATTAAATAAGCACAGGGTCAGGATCAGGGTCAGCGAAGTCAGGGTTAGGAGGCATGGACGAACTGAGTAAAGGAGGAGGAAAAGGAGTGAGGACAGACTAGAGGTAGACGATCAGGGTCCTGAGGAGTACGAGGAGACAACCGAGAGGGGCGGGCAAGGAGAGCAGGAGGAGTAAGGGCAGAAAGAAACCAAAGGAACCTCCACAGAAACCAAAGAAACCTGTGGGACCAAAGAAACCTCCACAGTAGGAACAGGGGGGCTCTACCACAAAATCGGGAGAGGAAGGAACGATAGAATCAGAGGAGAAGAAAGCGAAGCCGCCTTACCTGCCGGGGAGGAGGAAGGAGAGGAGCCAGGTTCCGCTTCTGACTCAAAGAGACAGGTGTCCCAGCAGCAATGTACTGGGCAACAGACACTAGCGTTTCAATAGGAGAAGAACAACGAGAGCGAACAACACGATCACCGAGAGAGCGATGGACATCGGCCCACACAGTCAGGCAACGGAGAGCCAAGAGACTGAGGAAAATGATGGGAAGGAGGATCAGAGGGAGAGGAGAAAGAAGAGACAGGAGACATGACAGACAGGTAGAAAGAAGGGGAACGTTAGACAGAAAACCAAGAGGGGAACCCTCCGGGACAGAACGGAAAGGCGTGTTCGGGTCTAAAGTTTGGAAACGGTTGTGAGACTTATGAAGGTGAGAAGGACGAGGAGAGGAAGAGCGCACCACACGAGCATAAGAGACGCCAGCAAAAGGTGGGGAGACAATGAACTTGGCGCCTAGCCTCAGGAAAAGACAAACAGTCCCAGTGCTTCAAATTGAGGACGGCTGGCTCAAGTTTGTAACATATACACGTTCGGGAGAAGGTAGGGTGGGCCTCACCGAAATTGATGCAGCGGGCCTGGGGAGAAGTGCACTCCAACTTAGTGACCCTCGCCTCCACACAAGGGACAGAGACAGACAGTACTAGAGCATTTGAAGGCACCATGCCCAAACCTCTAGCACTAATTGCAAAGCCGAGGAGATGGAATATACTCCTGAATGGAGCATCTGGCACCAGTAAGAATGACAGAGGGCAGAAGTGTCCTACCATCAAAGGTAATCTACACAACCCGAAGGGGCAGACGGTGACGAGGGGGACTAGAAAACGTATCCACCCGAAGGATAGAATCACCTTGAGCCTCTAGGATATGCTTGATATCCTCGTGGCAGTCTTTTAGATTTCTAACACCGGTTGCGACATGGTGCGGGTGCCAACACTGGCATTTAACCAAGCGTTCTTGGAGACCCAAACAGGGGTCTCGCCAATGCAGGATAAGGCGGCCAAGCAGGTGGCTGCATCCTGAGGAGCAGCAACGACACGGGTACCAAGACGAGTGGGATTGAAAGTAACAGGCATCTACTGAATCAACAAGATGCCTATGAAGGGAAAAATCGTCAGGAGGATTGGAATCCAAAGTTTGGAGGTCAAAGTACTTGGTCCACGAAGCAGGACTAAAAGCATGGTATGAATTACTATGGGAAGGGAGCATATTAGAGCGGCCGTGGCAGGGACAGCGATGAGAACCTCTATTAAGAGATGGGTCATAACTGCCACGGGCAGTCTCCGTGGTGTAGTGGTAAGACACTCGCCTGGCGTTCCGCGAGCGCTATGTCATGGGTTCGTATCCTGGCCGGGGAGGATTTACTGGGCGCATTCCTTAACTGTAGCCTCTGTTTAACGCAACAGTAAAATGTGTACTTGGATGAAAAAACGATTCTTCGCGGCAGGGGATCGTATTCCAGGGACCATAGGATTAAGGACGTGCCCGAAACGCTACGCGTAGGGCTCGACCAGGCGCAGTAGTCACAATAAGAGATGGAGCCATGCAAGGGGACGAGGCGGTCACCACAGCTCGCTTAGGGCTCGACCAGCCCACAGGGAGTAGTAGTCCGGTTCAAGCCTAAACTGGGCCCGGGAGCGGGGAGGCTACAGAGCCCGGTCCTCCAGAATAGTCCGACTCGGGGGGGCCTGGTCGACCACCCCATGAGCCTGGGTAAGAGAAGTCATGTCATATATGCAGCAATCAATTTCAAAGGTTTGGGACCTGGAACCAAGGGATACCACTTACCAGGGCAGCCAGGGAGGCCGAGCGCAGGCCAGTGCAGGAAGGGTGCGTCGTCCCCAGCAGTGCTCCCCCTTTTCAACAAGGGAATCCTACTACATCGTCCATTCTCCCTATCGCCCCAACCAGGACACCCAACCATCTACTCAGGGCAGCCCCTCACGGGCGACCCCTCCAGCAGGAGGTCCGATAGCTCACAAGGCCCCCTACATGGTGGCCTTCAGCATGTACACCACCCAAAGAGGGAGCAAAGGCAACCCACACCGATCCCAGGGATGTGTACGTGAGCCCCCCCCAGCATGATGGAACCACGGAGGGGGGCTGCGCAGATATGCGGCGCAGCTTGTGTGATGTCATGCTAGTTTTCATTTGGGGAGTTTTGTCCACTTGTTTGTCTATTTTCGTTGTTAACCAGAATAGGGGTTTGTTTTGGGGCTCTTGTCTTTTTGGGTGCCTGTCCCTGTCAATGGTAGATATAGAATGCTCCAAATCACATGTGCTATTCTATAGGCCAGGGGTCTCCAAACTATGGCCCGCGGGCCACATCCGGCCTGCCACATAATTTCATCCGGCCCTCCAAACAAATCCCTGTGTGGTGGCCTTGAAAAAATAATTATCGTACGAATCGCATCACAGAATTATTCAAAGCTGGGGCTGCTGACTGGTGGCGCTCAACCCGAGTCAGTTTTCCTCTCTCTCTCTCTCTCTCTCGATAGTGTGACGCACAGATACTAATACTGGTAGGTATGCGTTGTGCATTACAACCAATCAGTTGTGTATAACTGTATATTGTGGGGATGGAGGGCGAGTGGGGCTTCGCTGCTTCCGTTTCAGGGAGCACAAACACTGTACAATATTCTTTTCTCTGTACTTTGACAATGCCTTTATCTTAGTTATACAAAATAGCAATTTCATTTTTTATTCCTCCGGCCCGCATAAATATGGGAAATATATAATGTGGCCCTTACATTGAAAAGTTTGGAGACCCCTGCTATAGGCCACTGCTCCTCGTGCCTTTCTGAGGCGGCCAGGTTCTGGCCCTTGGTCGCCGGTAGGCCCAGACCTCCACCCACATCGACTGGTGCCAAAGTTAGGGATATTCATATCAGCCTGGATAGCTCCGGGGAGCCGAAGGGGGGGAAGCCGAAGGGGCTCCCCCCACCCCAAAAAAAGAAATGCTAGGCCTCTTGTCCCATCCCCTCTATACAAAGTCCAGTTATGCTTCTACTGCATGGCATATCAAACAAATACCTTTTCATTATATTTCTTTGAGTAATACTTTATAGTTTATATTAGAGGAAGATAGGTTAATTAGTTTAGGTAAGGAGAGAGTAGTTTAAGCTAGGTTGAACAGAACACAGTAGAAGTTTTATTTATTACTTATTTCCGTTTTATTTCTTTTATAGTTTTATTTCGGTTTATTTATTTTTATTCTCTATAGTTTTTATAGTTTTATTTCTACTCATTTTTGTTTACTTATTACACATTTAACTAATATTACTACCATGATCAACTAAAACATTTTAAAGTAGTTGTAAGTCAATCTTTTATATAATTAGTATGCATGTAAAATCATACATTTTTACCTACTTTAACAAAAATATAAGTTTTCCAGAAATTTTGGCTATGATTTTCAATGTATTTAATATATATACATGGTTGTTATTATTATACATTTATATGTTTGTTATTGTTTAATATGCGAGATTACATTACAGTAAACCAAAACCACCAGGTATATGGCCCTGCGGGCCGCTCCAAGCAACAGCCTGGTGGACCAAACTCTCACAAGTCTGGCCTCGGGCCAGGCTTGGGAAGAAGAACTCCCAGAACCATCAACCAGGTATATGACAGGTAAACACATCACTTCAGCAGGACTTTAATGTTTGGTCTTGATACTGGTCTTAGAAGTGAAGGAACAGGTATGAGTATTTTGGGTGAAAGTGGAAGTTAACCATTAAAAAACGGCTGCAATAAATACTTCCTGCAATCGTCACCCATGATGATGATAAAGACCCTGGCAGAGATCATTTCCACACATACTAGGCAGCAATATTCCTAGTCATGTAATGCAGATGAATACTGCATTCAGTCCAGTCGCGTTCAAAAACTTAATTTTGACCCATTAATTTGACGATTCATTAGAGTCATCGACATCGAAGTTGTGATATCCCCTCTCTTCTTAGGGGTGGATATCAGTAGTGGTTCCCAATGTGTATCCGATTCATTATATGAGTCAGACACAGTTAATTTATAGAAAGACATCCTGGGAGCATACCTGGGCAGAGAATTGCCCATGTCAGGAGGAAGTGAACCGAAGGAAGTAGAATGTGATGCCTTGTGGAGGTCAGGTAGTCCAGAGTAGTCATCTGCCAGTGGTCCAGAGGAGAACATAAGCTCTTCCTCCAAATTCAACTCTAAAGATGCGTCGTCTGATAACAGCTGCCGACTGTAAAATAAAAAAATCAGTAAGTGCTATGAAAACAAATAACCAATGGAAAGGTAGTGTTCAAAGTATTAAAACTAACATGCTGTCATGACCTCATGAACCCAGCATCGCTGGCCAACCAAAGCCTGGCCAATTTCAAGCAAGAGTCTAGAGGAAGTAATAAAAACGGCTGATTACAACAACGCTAGTTCACTGGAGCATATAACTAGGTCACCGTAAAACTATATATATATATATACACATAACTGCACACTAAAGCTGATACTTTCATCAGAAAGAAGAGAGCAACACATGACTAGTAGTCCCATACAACAGTGATCACTCAACTGTCAACTCTAGTAGCAAATCAGCTATCCATTTAGTAAGTAACTCAACTATCAAATCAGTTAACAATTCGGTAACAAACTAATATTGAATCACTCATATCAGTAACGGCTTAAACATAGGCATAACTGACACCAGTCTCGATTGATGATTGATGAAGATTAAGCCACCCAAAAGGTGGCACGGGCATGAATAGCCCGTAAGTGGTGGCCCTTTTGAGCCATTACCAGTATCAAGAGCTGATACTGGAGATCTGTGGAGGCGCGAATGCACCCTGCATGGCGGGAGATGTCCCCCTTGTGAATGTGTTATGAAGATGAAGCCACCCAAAAGGTGGCACGGGCATGAATAGCTCGTAAGTGGTGGCCCTTTTGAGCCATTACCAGTATCAAGAGCTGATACTGGAGATCTGTGGAGGCGCGACTGCACCCTGCGTGACGGGAGATGTCTCCCGGACCAAGTGACGACCAGATGGTGACACCAGTCTCCAACCTGGCGCAGTGGTATACTATCCTACGTAACAGTTGGGAAGGGTGACGGGTAAAGGTGGGCAAAAGAACCAGTTACACTAACACTAACACAATACCCACAATCACCGACCATCTGACCGACTGATCACTATTAGCCTGATCCATAAAGCATTACTTAACATTAAGAATTACATACACCATTTGGTCACCACTTGGTCCGGGAGACATCTCCCGTCACGCAGGGTGCAGTTGCGCCTCCACAGATCTCCAGTATCATCTTTTGATACTGGTAATGGCTCGAAAGGGCCACCACTTACGGGCTATTCATGCCCGTGCCACCTCTTGGGTGGCTTAATCTTCATCAATCAATCAATCCACAATAATGTACAACCAAAGGACTAGACGTGTGACGTCTACCTCTCTGGGAAGGTATAATACACCTATTTAGTCCAGCCATCGCCGTAATGATTTACATAAGTTGTTACGAATAAAGTTTAGTTCTCATCCTGATAGGAGGTGATGTTCTAGAGTTTGATATAAAATGAATGAACCATAATGGATATACAACTTACAACTTTGTCAACAAACCCCCTTGTTATACCTGTTGTAAGAGTTAGAGGGGAAGACTTCATGTGGATCGTCTTGCACGGGTCTTGCATCTTCAGCATACTGTTGCAAACCGTCATAATCCCACTCTAGTGATGGCATCGTGTCATCCTAAGAGTATTTTAAAAAATTATCAACATGGTCAGTATACAAAATGGTGGAGATAATGGTAGTGTAAATAACTTATTTTCATAATTTTTAAATAAAACTAGTTAAATGAAGGTATCCCTTTCTCTATGCCAGACTTGCCTCATTCATTATTCCGTAAATATTATGACCCTTATTCTTCTCATTCAGTGATGAGGTTATATATCTTTACTACTGTATTCCTCATAACTGGAGTACCTTTCAACTCTGGAGGAATTCCCCTGAACTTGCTATAACTGTTTTCTTGTATATGAGAAAACCTGTGTTAATGTTCCACATTCCAGAATTTGTCTGACGTGTGTTTATAGATAAGTGACCACTTATCAATTACTACAACACGCACTTACGCAAGCACTTACGAACCTGTACGTCTTTTCTCAATCTTTGGCGGCTTTCTTTACAATTATGAAACGGTTAATGAGCTCCGAAGCACCAGGAGGCTATTTATAATAACAGTCGATTGGTTAGTTATGATGCTTGTAAACTGTTTAATAAATGTCACCAAAACCGTCAAATATTGAGGAAAGATTAACACGTTCGTAAGTATTTGTATAACCGCTTCGCGAATCTGGTGCCAGGGTTGTGGTAAGGGAGATGGATATATTGTTGGATTAGGTGGAAGTAACAGTTGAAGTGAAGGAGGTGGAGGCAACAGAGGTGATAGTGGATTAAATAAATATGTAGGTAGTTACCGGGTGGTTAATATGAGATACATTTCTCAATTTCAATAGCTGCCATAATTTGTTTAAACTTAAAATACTAAAGTTGGAGTAAAGTTAATATTATCAGGTATTCTCAGATACAAAACAGAAACCTGTCTGAAAAAAAAGCAGCGTTGAATGCAATGAAACGCCATTTTCTGGGTGAGCCTCGGAAGCTCCCTGGAGCTATCGGGCTGATATGCGATACATTAGAAAAGGGCTATAGTCAATGGCTTAAGCCTACCAGAGACCACGCCCAGGAACACCCCGCACCCCCCGTGGTTGGAGGTTTACCTTATCTACTATTTATCAAGGTTAGGTACTCAGAAAGGACCTGCTTGACATTCAGGCACCGCTCCTGTGCCAGGTAAGTCCACTACGGGATCACCATAGCCCGTGCTACTTCGAACTTGTTCCGAGTAGCTGAATCTATAACAACAACAACCCAGAAAGGTAAGCGTAACAAAACACACCATACAATGTTAAACAAAAGCCGAACAGAGCGGTAAAACTCCGTTAATTCCCAAGGAAACGAGCAAACATCACACCACACCGTCGCGTCGCTCGTCCACGCTCGTCGACACTTCGAATATAAACTGCACGTAGATCCAAACCCTGAGAACCAGCAGAAGAGTCACTCGAAGCGACCAGCCCCAAAGAGGCAACGACCAAAGGGAACCCCCGCAGTTCAGCCAATGAACCAATGGAGAACAGTCTTTATGGAGCCGGATGGTCGAAACCTGAGCTACCCGACCCTCCGATGCAACAGCCAACTCGCCACGAACATCTGCACCTCGCTGTGAGCCTAATGGAAAGAGGGAACATGGCCGCTGCCTCCTGGCATGGGCAATTCTCTGCTGAGGTATGCCCCCAGGATGTCTTTCTATTAATTGACATAATCAGACTCGTCTCATGAATCACATACCTTTTGAGCCGCTACTGATATCCATATCCACCCCTAAGAAGAGTAACTCACAACCTCGGTGTCAATGTTTAGCTAACGAATCGTCAAAATCTGATCTAGCAAATGCATGGCCTTGAGTTAATAAGAGCACCTGCAGACACATTGGGACTCACATTAGTGCGATGGCGGACCAACCGCGGGTTGTAGTGGTCATATTGGCCGCTCCAAGCAATAGCCTGTTGGACCAAGATATCTCAAGTCAATCTTGAGATATCGGGCTTGAGGGGAATACAAGAATTCCCAGAGCTCACTCTAGGTATACTCTATGTATGAACCAGTTCTGGCAAGGATTTTGACGAGGTATAAACCTCAAATTATGACATTAAATAAGTAATTATTTCCCTTCCCCACCTCTTAACCTCCTTTTACCTGGATGAAAGCTGGGTCCTCATCTTCAAATTCGTTTGGATCCTGCACAAGATACTCCTCCGGGAGTGATGTCAGGATGCCTTGAGGGCGGCGCGCTGGTGGTGTAGCGGTGGGCGTGGGCGGCGGCGTGGTGGGGCCGCCCACTTCTTTCCTCCAGTGTTTCCATAGTTTCCAACATATGAAGGAACCCACGCCCACTAAAATAATGATGCCGCCCACTCGAACTGCAAAAAGAAGAAACAAAACAGTTAACATCAAATCACCTGTGAATTTATCCACCCCCTCACACTAGGCTGTTTAAAGCAGCGGCCGTCCTCCCTAGATGCATTCATCAATTTTAACATACTAGCTTGTTCTCGTATAAAAAAAGACGAAAGATATATACGTTTTGAAGGGAAACATCCTAGGAGACATCGAAAGCAAGGAGACCAGTGGAGGGCGAGTTAACCGTTTCCGAGACCCGCCCGGAAACAATTACGGAAGCTATCAAGGATCATCTCCCAAGCACCTTCGAAAAGGAGTGGGAGTATGGAATACTTTAGATCTTACACAAATACAGAGACCTCAACTTCCTGAAGGCACCCTCCAGGGAGTCTTGAGACAGGAGAGCATGGACGGGACCAAGGTCGACGGCACTTGAACACCTGCCCTTCACCCCAAATCCGGAGGACCTCCTCCAGGAGAGTGATATATCAAAAATAAGATAATGGAAAAATCTGACCTCTACGAGGTTAACATTTTTTTTCAACAAGAGGACGTAGAAATTATAGCCCTGGTAAAACCAATTTTTACAACTATAGAATATCTAAAAGACAAGTTGACGTTTGTTTGTCCAACGGGCAGCGAGGCTAAACACAGTCCCTGAATATTTTGTCCTAAAGGTGGTTCCCATTTTTTCAGCAGGTCTCCCGATCCTACCAGGTCTAGCCAACTGTCTAAACCGAGTTAACTTTGAACAGGCCAGAGAGTCTATGGAGACACGTTTCTTCTCAAAGCCACGCATATGACAAATGTGCGAGCTCATCGTAGCCTGCCTCCTAATACGAGGTTAGGACCAGGTAATAATAGGTACATCCTTATGGGAAGGTTTCAGACTAAAGACAACTCTGAAAAAAGGGACCCTCTAAAGATCATACGACGGAAGTCTAATCAGGACAGACGTCACACAGGTATGAAAGTTTTTTCTCAAAGGTACAAGTACCGTACCGTTCTCTGCAGTGTACCTTCTCAGGAAGGTACACTGCAGGCTTACTACAACAGAAGCCTTAATGCACTGAAGCCCTAGGTCTAAAAAGCCACAGAACAAGTGCAGCCACAACAAAAGCAAGCGGCCCCAAAACCCTTACGTTCAGTGCTCCTGATGAACGATGACGATGTCCCCTATTCTAGGCAGGCCTGTCCGACAACAACCCCCCTCCCACCCAGAACAGACTCGAACAGGAGAAAGAGCCGCAGAGACAGAACTTCCAATGGGACACCTCGGCGAACAACAACAGGCAAGGTAGGAATAACAGAGACAAGTCACGAGTCGGATGGAGAGATTCATCACGAGACAAACCGGATGACAACCAAGCGAGGAACAATAAGGACAGATCCAGAGAGAACCAAGGGTAACAGGAACGGGTTCGGCGACAACAGAGGCCAGAACATTATCACCCCAGGCAACAACGAAGGCAATAACAGCAGAGAATATCCCTCCTGGAACAACAACAGACAGAGGTAATAATAATAGGGGCCAGAATTTTTTCAGTAACAGGGGGCAGAGGCAACAATCTGAACCAGAACAACAACAGATCCAAGCGCTGGAATTAAGGCAGAGAAGAGGACAACTGAAACAAACAGTTGTCTCTGAGGTACCCCTAACTGAATAGGAGGGGAAACTGTTGGAAAGGGGACTTACGTTCGTGATAGGCCCTCCGGCGCGTAAGAAGAGAAGATACGATAGAGGATCTGTGCAACAACTTTGAAACTAGTATCAACCAAGTTTGCAGCAACCTCCGGCCGGAGTAAGATAAGTCAACACCACAGCCACTATCACAGCACACTACATATGATACCAATAACATGCCAATACCCTATACCCAGAACTGTAATGTCGACCTATTGATATTTTACTCACATGTACTTGGTTCCTCTGCCATGGAACCCACGGTTGTGTTGACTCCTGCTCTCTGCGCCACCTGCTTCACACACTGTTCCATCGCGAGTGTTCCTGGCTATAAATTGAATGATGAAGATTAAGCTACCCAAGAGGTGGCACGGACAAGATTAGCAAGTAACCTGGCTATAGACCACCACACTGCCTTTATATACTGGCCCTCATCTCACCTAATAGGAAAAGTTCAAATTCAAGTTCATTTATTAAGACAATAAAATACACAAGAACATAAGTAAATGCAGAAGGCCTATTGGCCCTTACGAGGCAGCTCCTATCTATAACTACCCAATCCCACTCATATACTTGTCCAACCCACGTTTGAAACAATCGAGGGATCCCACCTCCACGTTACGCGGTAATTGGTTCCACAAATCAACAACCCTGTTACCGAACCAGTATTTACCCAAGTCTTTCATAAATCTAAACAATACCCATTGTTTCGTGTTCTGTCTTGTGTTGATACTTTTAATACTATATTAATATCTCCTTTGTTGTGTCCATTCATCCACTTGTAAACCTCTATCATGTCTCCCCTAACTCTTCACCTTTCGAGTGAATTCAATTTAAGCTTTGTTAATCTTTCTTCATATAAAGGTTTCTAATTTGGGGAATTAACTTAGTCATCCTACGCTGGACACGTTCAAGTGAATTTATATCCATTCTATAGTAAGGCGACCAAAACTGAACTGCATAATCTAAATGGGGCCTAACTAGAGCAAGATATAGCTGAAGAACCACACCAGGTGTCTTGTTACTAAAGTTTCGATTAATAAATCCCAGTGTCCTATTTGCCTTATTACGAACATTCATGCATTGATCTTTTTGTTTTAAATTCTTATCATAACTCCCAGATCCCTTTCGCAATTCGACTTCGTAATCTCAACACCATCTAGCTCGTATCTTGTAACCATCATCATTACCTAGCCTCAAAACTTTACATTTATCAGCATTAAACTGCATCTGCCAATCCTTTGACCATTTAAAAACCCTATTTAGATCAACTTGAAGTGATAGAGAGTCTTCTTCCCTGTTAATTTCCCTGTCGATGTTTGTATCATCGGCAAATTTGCAAATGTTGCTACTCAAACCCGAATCCAAATCATTGATATATATTTTATAAACAACAGAGGTCCCAGGACAGAGCCCTGAGGCACTCCACTTACAACATTTGCTTTTTCGTTTAATTCTATCCAAATAGTTTCTGTATGTGGCTCAGTTTTGAGACTACACTTCAAATTGTTCCCAACATATATGGCTACTCCCCCTCCTCGTCTAATATATCTGTGTGATATAGTTTAAATCCATTTAAATCCACACAGCCCCCTTGTTTAACTCCCTAAACATGCTAAACATAATCTCACTCCACAAATTCTCTTGTGTCAACTACATTTACAAAACCCTGTTCTTAAATGCAAATCCTTGTCTGAAACTCTTCTTGGACAGATGTAATAGGACCCATTATCACCACACCAGAAATAAATATCTCTTTGATATCCCCAGTTAAACTTAATCTGTGTAAACACTATGCAAATAAAGGGACCCAGTTTATGGAACTCACTCCCTACTGAATTGAAAAGCTGTCCAACTTTTACATCATTCAAAATAAATACTAAAAAGTACCTAATTTCATCTTCATAGTTTTTCACTTATTACCTTAAAATTGCACTATCAATTGCTACCCAATCTCCCAACCTTTATGTTCCCAATTTGTACATCTTTACCATTGTGATCATTCTGTTTTCTTATATGTGCTGCCAATCTGTTGTATGGTGTTTATAAATCTTGTTTATCTGTATCTTTTGCTACCCAATCTCCCAACCTTTATGTACCCAATCTGAACATCTTTACCATTGTGATCATTGCTGTCTTATATGTGCTGTTAATCTGCTGTATGGTGTCTATTAACCTTGTTTAAATTACTAATCAAGCTGTCAATGTAATCAATCAGAGCTTTAATAAAACAATATGCTTTAATATACCTACTTGTCTCATCTCATTTTTCTCTTGTAATGCATCTTTATCATTTATCAATTCTGATTGAAATTACCTACTTAAAATTATCTGCTAGATTAAGGACCTGCCCGAAACGCTGTGCGTACTAGTAGCTTTACAAGAATGTATATACTGTACTATCCAATGTATTCTCACAAACCCAATGTACCTTCTTGTATATATATAAATAAAATAAAAAATAAATAAATTTGATATTCAGCTAATAGTTCTCTATTTTCTACATTCATCCACGTTTCGGTAAGTGCAATAATATCTATTCCTTCTGTAAAGATAAGAGCATTTAACTTGTTTATTTTGTTTCGTAGACTTCTACTGTTAGTGTAATATACCCTAAGTGAATTGTTATTGAGGCCCTTCTCTTTCCCAATTTGTTTCTCCAGCAAACATTTTTATTACCTCCTCCTTCCTTCCTCCCTATTAATCCCCATACCACTATCTACTAACAGTTTAAACCCAAACAAACACCTCTAACCACTGGTTCCAACGAGTTCGCAGCAACAACAACCCCAGCCCTCGATAGATGCACCCCATCACGAGCATACCTTTCATTTCTTCCATAGAAGTGTTCCCAGTTGTCTATGAAAGATATTGCATTTGATTTCCAATATCTTTCCAGCCGGCAATTGACACCAAGTGCCCTCGACAACCATTCATTTCCAACGCTCTTTCTTGAAAGAAAGCCACATATGATCGAGATTCCTCCCTTGCTCCTAACTAATTCTATGGCTTTGTTAAATGTCTATCAGTTCCCGACTCCTAACTCGTCCAACATCATTACCCCCTGCAATCAGTATCCACAGTACCTACAGTGCCGATGTCTGTGTACTCCCTAATCAAGACTCAACATCCTGCCTTTCCATCCCTAGCTACTGACCCATCACAATATACATGTAGTGTGTTTTCTGTAGGTAATTTCCTAATTAGACAATCATGTGTTGCCCTCAGCTCTCCTATCCCATACATACTTTTGTCATTTGTAAAGGAATAATTACTACATCTACGTTACAATCCTCCCATGGTGGTGTGAATTGTCTCTTAGGCAGAGCAATACAGTCTGGAATAACATCATACTCTAACATTAGAACAAAGTACTCATATATGTTCTCTTATTATGCTTTTATACTTTAACTTACATTGTTCGATTGATTGATTGATGAAGATTAAGGCACCCAAAAGGTGGCTCGGGCATGAATAGCCCGTAAGTGGTGGCCCTTTTGAGCCATTACCAGTATCAAGAGCTGATACTGGAGATATGTGGAGGTGCGACTGCACCCTGCGTGACGGGAGATGTCTCCCCCGTGTTACATTGTTCATTATTTCCCACCTTTTGAACTGTGAGGATTAATTCATTAGCTCCCCACCTCATTAATCTAATGACAGGCTGCATTTATCTCTGAAAATCTATCCCCAATACTCTTCAGATTAAATTCCATCATTATCTCAATCATACTATTTCTTGGGGATCCTAAGATTATTCTCATGGCTTTATTTTGTACCCTCTCCAACTTGCCCATCCTACCTTTACTAAAACAAGAAATGATGGGTACAACATTTCTTGTTTTGGTAAAGGTAGGATGACAAGTTTGTGAAGGTACAAAATAAAGCCATGAGAATCTTAGGATGCCCAAGAAATGCTATGATTGAGATAATGATGGAATTTAATCTGAAGAGTATTGGGGATAGATTTTCAGAGATAAATGCAGCCTGTCATTAGATTAATGAGAGGTGGGGAGCTAATGAATTAATCCTCACAGTTCAAAAGTGGGAATTAATGAGCAATGTATGATAAAGTATAATAAGGAGAACATATATGATGGTACTTTATGTTCTAATGTTATAAAGTATGATATTCCAGAATGTATTTTTTTGCCCAAGAGGCAATTCACACCACCACGGGAGGATTGTAACGTAGATGTAGTAACTATTCCCTTGCAAAAGACAAAATAATGTAAGAGATAGGAGAGCTGAGGGCAACATATGATTGTATAATTAGAAAATACCTACAATAAACACTACATGTATGTTTACCAGACCACACACTAGAAGGTGAAGGGACGACGACGTTTCTGTCTGTCCTGGACCATTCTCAAGTCGATTGTGAACTTTACCTTCTAGTGTGTGGTCTGGTCAACATAATTTAGCTACGTTTTTGCGACTCATCGCCTGCACTCTACATGTATATTGTTATGTGTCAGTAGCTAGGGGGTGGAAAAGCAGGATGTGGATTTTTGATCAGGGAATACACCCTGATCAAAACGGGAATACACCTTTCCTAAACGGAAGGAAAAGGAAAAGTCTTCCAGCAAAATGCGAGGACAGCAGCAGGAGCACAAGGCCACAGAACGACCACACCAAGGAGCATCACAACGACAGGCGCCCACCAAGCCCCCCCCCCCTCATGGCAGCAATTAGAGATAGGTTAGGAGAGTAGTTTAAACTAGGTTGAACAGAACAGGCAGATTTTTCTTATCTGTTTAATTTCAGTTTTTATACTCTATAGTTTACAGTTTTATTTCTACTATTTGTTAACTTATTACTACATTTAACTATATTACCACCATAATACCCAGATAATCAACTAAGAAGTTTTAAAATAGTTATAAGTCAGTCAATCTTTTATATAATTAGTATGCATTTAAAGTCAAACATTTTAACCCATTTTAACAAAAAATCTATATTCCAGGTATTTTTGGCTATGCTGTTCAATATATTATATATATATTATGTTATACATATATACGTTTTGTTATTGTTTAATGTGTGATCACATTACAGAAAACCACAACCACCAGGTATATGACAGGTAAACATCACTTCAGCAAGACGAATGTTTGGTCTTTAGACTGGTCTTAGATGTGAAGAACAGGTATGAGTATTGTGGGTGAAAATTAAAGTTATGAAAGTTAACCATTAAAAAAAGGCTGCAATAAATACTTCCTGCAACCGTCTCTCTTGATGATCATAAATTTCCTGGCAGAGATCATGTCCACCCATACCAAGCAGCAATATTCCTGTCATGATATGCAGATGAATACTGCATT